TGCTGCTGATCTGTCTCATGTTGCTGCTGATCTGTCTCATGTTGCTGTGTTCATGCGAGCTCATCTGTTCACACAGGCTCATGTTTGTGCTGCTGTTCGGCATATTGTTTTTATGCTATTAGTGCTTAGTTTTTTTTTTTGCTGATGTTTTTCTTAGTTCATATCTGTTATGTATTTTCTCTCCTATCCAACTGAAAAAAAGAGAACACCACACAGGATAGAGTAAGGTTTTTGGCCAATGCTCCTTGCAGGGAGGGAAATCCACCTCTGGTTCCAGACCAGAGGTGAACTCCAAAGCCTTGCTGTTAGAACTGGCTTTTTATTTGGTAAGAGTGACACATAAGTGTTAGGCTTGGAACACTCTTTGATCAGAACAAAACATCTTGTACAGGTTCAGTTGATTAAATGCTTATTATAATGAGTTTCTGATACCATCTGTATCAGTTGAAATCATCTGTATCAGTTTAAGGGTGATGAAAGAAAATGACAGTGCAAGATAGCTGGAATACTTGCTGATATGTTTAAACTTTGACATGTTTGGTTTTTAACAAACAGTTCTAAGTAAAAACAGCTTATGTAAATACAGACTGATAGTTCCAGACAGGCCATTTAAACTTATAACAAATTAAAAACAATTACATTTACCTCCTGTTTATCAGTTTAAGCTCATTGAAATCATAAATCATAAAAAGAAAAAAATAATAATTCACTTTCCTACAGAACTTTAAATCATAAAAATAAAATTTAAAGAACAAAAATAATGAAGGATGAAAAAATGATTTGCTTCACATGTTTGAGGTTGATTAAATGACCTGTTAAACTTGTGAGAATAAAAACAGCAAAGGTTTTAAAATTTTTTGAAAGTAGAAACTTAACCCTCAATAATAATAATTCAAATTGTGAAGGATTGAACAATTGCTTATCTGAAAAAAAAATGAATAGGAAAGAGTGATTAACTTGAATAATGAGAATAAATTGATACACACATAAAACATCTGATCGTGATTGTTTTCCAGAAGAATGACAGCAAAAATTATTATTTTTTGTTAATACAGGAGAAAACATACAGTAGCTGGCCCAGGAGCATAGCATCATCTTTGTACTTATTCATTGAACACAATTTCAGTACAAGAATCATAATGCATCTCTTTTATACGGCATCATAATACTCTGATCGTGTCAGTGGAGTGTCATTTTCATGGTTTAACCATGACAGGTGAAGGCTGATTAAAACACCTGTAAAGCTTTCGTCATCATTGTTTTCAAAAGTGGGAGGACACATGTGGTGAAAGCGCAGAAGAGGACGAGTACTACCAGGATGGGGGTGCAAATCTTCAGCTGCAGACGTGAGCCATGAAAGAAGGTCTAAGGGTTGTGCTCCTTATGTTGTACTGTCCACATACCATTTCAGCTGTTCTAGGTCATTCAGGGCATCATGGATATCTCCACCAGTTCCAGTTTCATCTGGGATGTAGGTGCAGCATGTGGTTCCTATAATCTTACATACCCCTCCTTGTGAGGCGGTGAGCAGGTCCAAGATGACGCGGATCTGGATGATCATATCTCTCATTGCAGTCAATTCCTTTGTTGTTCCATCTGCCAGTCTGTAGGTAGA